GAAAGCACAGCAGTGTGTTCCAAGCAGACCAATAAGCCTTTTCCAACACAGCCTGAGCAGTTGCAGATGTTTACCCCAACCTCCTTGAAAACAGCTTTAGTTCCAGCCCAATCTCCCAAAATCAGCTGCAAATTTCTTTCCGCAACACATTCAACTAACAATAAGCAAAATCCCACATGGCTAAAGCTACGGAAGGCCCCAAACCAATTTACTCAGCCCAAGGCCTGTTATATGCATTCGCTATTGGGGCTGGCTGGAAAAACAAAAAAAGAACAAGAAGAAGAAAGAAAAAAGAGGTGTGTTCCTCCCAACCACAAAATCAAGCCTCATCAGAGGGAAGCCTGCTGTCGAACACGCAATGGAAGAACAAAATGTAACTTATCAAGGCTTTAGGGGGAAAAAGGGTTACCGTGATCTGTTATGAGAGAAAAGCCTGACTGCACCCCGTTAACACACCGAAGGACACATACAAACCTGCCTGAGGCCTATTTTCTTACTGTCCCACATTTGCTTGAAGTTCCAGAAGAAAGGTTGGTCACATTTTTGACAGGAGTCACTATCCAGCCACTCGGGGGTCTGCAACACACACACATAAACACAAAGTGGGAGCGAGCAACAAACAGAAAAGCTCCCAGCGGAGCCTAGAGACAGGACACGAAGGATGTGTTATGCTTTCCCACATGACTGCACCCCACATGACTGCACCCCAAAAAATCCCTGTTTTCACAAGATGCCGTTTTGACTGTTCCCTGGGATGCCTTTTTTGGCTCAGCTCTGAGCCTTGAAGGACACGGGAGGAACACTCTCACCCAAATCATGAAGCAGGATTTGATTATAAGACCATACAAATAAGCCAGGAACAAACAAGCCTCCCCCACCTCTCCAAGTCTGGAATTAAGCCTGTAAAAATATTTCATCCTGTCCTGTCTGGACAGCATTTACCATCTGCTCTTGCCTCTGGTGGGAACTGGGGGCAGGCAGCTTTTCCAATAGCCAAGTTACTCATCTGGAGGGAAGGAGAGCAGGATTTGATTATAAGACCATACAAATAAGCCAGGAACAAACAAGCCTCCCCCACCTCTCCAAGTCTGGAATTAAGCCTGTAAAAATATTTCATCCTGTCCTGTCTGGACAGCATTTACCATCTGCTCTTGCCTCTGGTGGGAACTGGGGGCAGGCAGCTTTTCCAATAGCCAAGTTACTCATCTGGAGGGAAGGAGAAGGTATCCGAAATGCTGATGGTGTGGGGTTTACTATTTCTTTCTTCCTGCTGTCAGAGCTGTCGGTGCTGCACTTCACACACAGGCGTGAGAAAGAGGAGATTCTCCCGCACAAGCCTGAAATCCAAACCAGTTCCTTTCCCTGCTTTTACACAACGGCGACGGAAGGAAGGTCTTCTATTCCCGAACACGGCACACAGCGTTGCACTCGTGCTGTGGATGAGGCGGGTAAGAAGATTTAAAGACAAGGAAGAATAATATTAAAGGCACTTCCCTCTCCTGCAGCTAGGTTTGGCTGTGTGGAGCAGCGCAGCCCAGACACCCCGTAGGGAAGAAAGTCTTGCCAGATCCTGAAAGAGCTCAGGACACACCTGAAGTGGCAGGGGGGCACGTGGAGGGGGACGTGGATCTCCTCCCCTACATTTGGGACTTGCATTGAACTGCTGGCGGATGTGCAGCACATCTCCCTACCAAGTTTAGGAAACCCTCCCTGGGATGTGAGATTCAGGAAGAGTTGTGGTTCTTGACCCCTCCCCAGCAGTCTGTCAGTCTGTCTGTCCTAACGTGGCCTAGCAAGAGCGACTCATCTTCCCAGCAGATGACTCCTGCTCCTTCCTCTGCCACACCAGGACAAGAGCTGAGCCCAAAGCCGGTGCTGGCATGAGAGGTGGCCCCAGCCTGCCCAGGACAGCCCTACCAGCGCTGCAACACGCTCCCACCAACCCCAGGAGATTAGACAAACACAAAATAATGTTTAACACTTTGTGAGCAAGTGCTATTAGCAAACCGCCGTTGTCCTAGAGCTGCTGCCTTCTCACACGCTGCAGTTTAAAGTGGCAAGAAATGCAGCTGAGATGAAGAACTAAAAGTAATACAAAAGCCGGGCAAAGATGAGGCAAGGCTGATGGAGACCCTCAGCTCCCTGCAATAAAACAACCGCCTGCTTCAGCTTCTTCTGCCAGTTACTTCGCGGGCAGTTCATTCCACTGCGGTAAATCCTTTTCTCCCCACAAGAGTCTTGCTGCTTAATGCCCACAGAGTTTTCATCGCTTACACATCTGAACACTACAGAGGAAGAAGACATTTTACTTGTGACAAGTAACTGCTTCCTAGTCACGCAGAAACACAGCTTCTGGCATCTTTCAGATGCTGTCTTCCCACAGCTTTTTAAAAACAGAGATTAAAATAAAGAAGCAAGGGCTAAAATGGCTTAATGCACTTTAATGCAGTCTCAGAATGTGGGAAAATCTGATGGTGTCAAGGTGGGTACCATGCACATATCATACAGACAAAACCCTTAAATAAGGGCAAAAATACCAAAGAAGAAAACACTCAACGACCCCCAAACCAAGGTTTGGTATTAAAATCTCAAAGATTCATCTTTCAGAGGTGGTTTAGCCCCATGAACACCCTGTTGCACCACTGGCACCACGAACAGGCCCACACAGCCATAGTCCGAGACAGCAGCGCACCCGCTGGCACCTGCTGCTAAGCCCTCATTTAGATAATTATATTTCTCCTCTGTTTTTTAAACCCGCCTTCTCAGAGCACTGCCGCCTGTTTTGTGACAAGCCGGTCTTAACCCCTGCTGTAGCCTTTCTAGGCAGCAAATAAATGAAGGTTTTCCGTTCTGGATGTCGGAGTTGCAGCAAGAAGGAAACATCTGTTGGGAAGGAGGAAGCTGCTGTGCCTTGGTATCACTTTTGGAGCTGATGACATAATTGGCAATTAGATTAGCAATTAAAGAGAGCCAACTGGAATGCTAATTCACATAAAAAAGGGAGCTCAGTTCCCGCCTAGGCCTATTTTAGTAGGGTTTTATAATCCAATTTTCCACTTAGCTTTCCCTCCTTGCTCCAGGGAAACACAAGGAGTAAAGCACCACACCAGGGAGCAAAGCTGGCGAAAGCCCATGCTGCCAAAAGCCTTGCTCAGACCTACCCACTGCAGGAGCTCGGGGTGCCTGCACCCCCCTCCACCGGGAACAGGGCAGAGGTTTGCCATGACTCATGGTACCGGGACTCGCCGCGCTGCCAAGCGGGGCTGACGCCTGACTCACAGCACAGCACTCGCTCCCCCTCTCTGAGTCAGGTCTCAGAAACTGCCGAGCGGAGGCTGCTCCCCCAGCGCCAAAGACCCGGGGTGCAGCTGTTGCACCCGCTTACATTCGTTGGCCGTGTGGCACAAGAGCAATTAGGAGCGCGTGGGTGAAACCTTGACGTCTGGATCGGCAAAGGCATTGTTTACCCTGCTTCTGCTTGGTTACACCAGAGGGAAGCAAGACCGAGTAGCAGGTGAGATTGAAGCCCTAGCTGAATGTCTTTTTAGCAAGAACAGGAAAAAAAAACCAACCAACCAACCCAGAGCCCCATGAACACAGAGCTTTCTGATGACAGAGCTTTCTGGTCTTGTTTTCTTAAAACCCCCTAATAATTATCAATCCATCCATTTACCTCTGAAGTGATAGTATTTCTCGTGGTGTTCTGACTAACAAAGCAGAACATCTCGCAACACCCTCCTCAGAGGATGGCTTTTGGAGCAATCATGTAAAGGGTAAGAGCCATTTAGCAGCCCACTTAATAAGCATTTTCTGCCAGACAATTTCCCCTGTACCACATTATCAATGGCACGTCATAATTGCTGTACAACAGCTGGAGCATGTCCAAAAACATTTTTAAAGCCTGGAATGATCTTGTTCAGGTTCAAAGTTGCACATTTTAGAAAGGCCCTTTTTTCCCCAGGTTGTTTCAGACCAAATCGACAAGAACTGAGTATCTACCTCTTGCCTCTCAACATCCATGTTCCAGACGACGATTCCCCCATCCGCACCACAGGAGATGAGCTGCCGCGTGTGGTGAGCGTAGGACAGAGACTGAACTTTATCGCTGGGAAAGAAACAAGACAGTTACTCATCAGCCATCTAGGGCTAGCACACAAGGACGCGTACAGTATACGAGAAAGCAGCATAAGACACTTGTTTGCCCGTATGTTTCCCTCCTCCCCCTCACATGGAATCCATTGGATGCAAATCAGTCTTTGCTGTCCAGCCGGGACCAGAGCCAGAGTGTTGTTCACCCGGGCAGCATCCACAAAAGCAAAGACCTGTTCTGATAACTGCTCGTGGTGCTGCTGAGATGGGAGGTCCCAGCTGCACTGGGAAGCCTGAACAGGTCCTTGAGGTGCAGCTCCGGGCCTCTCCGAAGGCACATCTGGATGCATAAACACAGCCCAGGTAAGGTCCCTTCCTGTCAGAAAGTCAATAACAACTTTGGGTTTGGAAATCTCTGCAACATCTAGGAAGAAGTGCTGAGGAGGTACTAAAGACTTTCTTTTAGCACTGACAAGCATAGAGAGTGGCAAAAATAACGCAGAAATCACTAAATTGTTCCTAAGCCTTCTCAAGGTAAAATGGAAGATTTAGGTGCTTCCACTTCTTCTTTTAAGGAAAAAGCGACATGGGAGAAATAATTCAGCTTAAATCCCCAAAGCTGGGCTCAGTCCTTCGTAAAAGATGGAACACTGGGCCTCATCTCAAGCTATTTACAACCTGGGAAACAAAGACCATACAACACTGTTACGGAAAAAACAAAGTTACAGAGACAGTAACTGAGCATAGAGTGACCAGAAATAACCCACAACATCTGTTTTTCTTTGCTATCACTTTGCTAGTCCTTGTCTACCCAAAGGCCTTTTTTTTTCTGCTGATGCATTTGCCTGTGCCTATGGCTGCTCCTCCAAAGGAGAATGTGTTCCCGGGACAGTTTGGTACAACACAGCCCGCCCTCCCGGCGTCCGCCTGCTGACTCCAGTGGCACCGCCAGGTGAGATGTCTGTATCTTCAGGTGTAGATGCCTCTATGCCAGCCAACAGCTGTGCCACAGAATAGGATCCAGGGGCCAACTTCCTATTAGGAGAACTGATTTCCACAGTAGTAAATCTAGCAGCGGTGCATTAGCAAGTACCACTGGCAGGATACAAGGGTGATCTGGGAATTTCAGCAAGAGCTCTGCAGTGCTCTGAAATCTCAGCGGCATCCAAATTGCTCAGCAGAGTGCATCATCACTCAAAAAAAAAAATGTGTGAATACGTAAGAAACTGTTAGACCCAAACCACTGTGGGATTTTGCCTCTCCAGACTTGATCCTGGCATGGAAGTCCCACACAGATGCACTCCCAACGCAATGAAAGAAGCTTGTTGCACTGTCAGTGTTAAAAGGCTAGGAGGCTGTTGCACCTAGACCTGTTCTGATCTCTACTCAATGCCCAGCACAGGCTTACTCTTCTTCAAAGACACAGAATCATAGAATCATAGAATGGTTTGGGTTAGAAGGGACCTGAAAGACCATCTAGTTCCAAGCCCCCTGCCATGGGCAGGGACACCTTCCACTAGACCAGGTTGCTCAAAGCCTCATCCAGCCTGGCCTTGAACCCTCCCAGGGATGGGGCATCCACAGCTTCTCAGGGCAACCCGTTCCTGGGCAACATCTCCTATACTACGAAAACGTGAGGTCTGTACGTGCAAAGGTGAAGCCTCTTTGCACTGAGGAGATGGTGAATGCCCCTGGGGGTAGAGAACATTACTTAGAATTCTGGCTGTAGGTGAAGTGGCATGGGGAAAGTTAGCTCGGAGGAAAAAGGGACTAATTATCCAAGCCTGATGCTCCCTCTAGGGGAAGGAAAGACCTTGACACCTAAAAAGCGAGATTTCCCAGCAGCTGTTCTCAGTTGAGGATCCTCCTCTTTCCAACGAAGGCGCAGGCTCTGGCATAACCCATTCAGGACTACAAACATTGCGCTCTCAAGCCAGCCTGTGGGTCCAACACTGCAAAACTTACTATAAGCAACTTATTCCTGTTGTACATGGACCACAGGGAGTCACACATACAAGCTTGAGGCTCGTGAAGACTGTAAACTTTGGGCTGTTTGTTTCCAGGTGTGGCTTCTGCCTTGAGCTTTTCTCCCATAAAAGCAGGAGAAAGGGCTTTGAACGTACTTATGTCCTTGCAGCTCGATGGCTGTTCCTTTTCTTCCTCCAATATCCCACATTATAATGGAATGATCAGAACTGCCGGAGAATAAAACTCGCTGTATTGGGTCCCAACAGAGAGCAGTGACACCACCTGAAACAGGAGATGCACACAACAGTCATTTCATTACGGCAAGTGGAAGGCAGGAATGTAGCTAAACATATATATAAAGATACAACAAAAAATACGGAGAGTGATTAAAATGCAGGTCTCTTTAGCAAAGGCCATGCAGCCACTGTGCTTGCCAGTTGAAAACGAACAGTCTAGAAAACCTACTGATGCCCCATCCTACTCTTCTCCAGGCAGAGTCCTCTGCTGCCACTCTCATGGATGAATCTGTGGAGCAGTAAAGCGTGGTACAAAGATGGTCATGGTGTGACCGCACAGCTTTTCATCTCTCTTATTCCCAGGAGATTGCAAAAGAGAAGCAAGCGTGGGCATCTTCACAGTATCCTGGCACAAGGACTGAACTACCTCGTACTACCTCGTGATTGGGCTATCAGCATTCCGTCAAAGAGGAGGGGTAGGGAGAGAAAATGCTGAGGAATGACCATCATTTCTTCTGTTAGATGGCAGGATAACATCCCAGGGTTGCTGGTTTTAAACTGTGGTGGGGCACAAGTCCCAGGAGTGAAACAGGCAGCTAGTGCCTCCAGGGTGTGCCTACTCCACTTGGGCAAAAGTGCCTACCAATATAGGTCTTTCCTTGAGGAGCATCCTTTTCCCCCAGAATTACTACAACTCCTTCTACTCTCACTCTGCTTTAATTAGCAACTGTCGACTGTGGCATTTTCTGTCACAGAAGTTTTCTGATCAGAAGTCTGATCATTCTCGTTTTTACCAATAAAGAATAAACCTCCCTGAGCTGTAGTGTCAGTTTAAGGTCTATCTCCCTTCTGTGCTATGCACTGACACAAGCCATCCTGGAGTTTCCCAGAGAGTCAAACCACCACAATGCTGAGAACAGATGAAGAAGCAAATTGCGTCTCATCCTGAGGCCTCACCTGTGTGTCCCTTAAATGTCGTTACGAGGCTGCAGGACTCTCGCTCTAGTTTGAGTATGGTCACTTGCCCAGAATGATCACCAACAAACACGTGCCGAGTTTCCACATCAAATCTGATGGATAAAGGCTGAGGAAAATACATTGCTTATACAAGCTTTGCATTCCTTTCAGGACTTGGTAATTCTTTTAACATGGGTGTACTGCAGTGTCGTGAAGAGTGCTCCAGTCTCAAGGGGGTACTGAGAGTGTACTTTTAGGCACCAAGCACATACCTGTTCAATGCAGTCTCCCTGAGTAAACCAGGGAGTGAGAAAAATTGAGACTATTCCAGAAGACACAATTTGTGGTTTGATTCTAAAACATCTCTGAAGTAGCCCTTTGCCATGAACAGAGGAGTCTCTAACCTGGGTGCTGGAGTTGGGTGGTGTCCACTCGCTGTTCTGTGCTTGTATTGGGTTTGTGTGG